TCCACGTCTGGGAGGCGACCGTCTCCACGTCTGGGAGGCGACGTCTCCACGTCTGGGAGGCGACCGTCTCCACGTCTGGGAGGCGACCGTCTCCACGTCTGGGAGGCGACCGTCTCCACGTCTGGGAGGCGACCGTCTCCACGTCTGGGAGGCGACCGTCTATAACAGAAGCCTACTCGGTGGAAGGAAGCTGCTTGGCCGTATCAGTTACATGTGCTTGAATCTTGAGGACACAGTTGCCGTTAGACAGAAGCTGGAGACACCGTTCTTTGATCCGCTGCGCTTGATCCGCTTCACGTGACTGCCTCATTCTTCCACTCAGCAGCGTTCGTTGGTTACCATCTGTAACATGCATCGCCGATTCCCGAGCCAGATTCCGAGTTATTGGGCTAAGATCGTTGGTTCGTCATGACAATTAATTTGTGGAGCCGTTTTCGTTTCTTGTACAAGTTCGTTCACGCCGTTATTTGGTGTGTGGTTTCCCGCAGCCGTTGCGGGCTGGTGCTAAGTTGGTAAAAAGGTTGATCTCTGGGGCCACAGGAGCTGTGCAGATCCGGGTGCCGTTTGGTTGGTAAGACACACAGCGAGGTTGGAGGTAAAAAAAAGTGAGCGAAACCGAAAAACGGTGGAGGGTGGTAGAGGGTGCCAAAAGAGTTTAGGGGGTGGTCACAGGGTGTAAGTGACTGCTCACTGCAGCAGACAGAATGTGAGCAGGGTATACAACTGAGTGGCACCGCCACCACCACCACCACCACAACACGCAGTACATGATGCAGCGCAGTACAGGGCACGCAGCTGCTCAAGTACGCAGCAGGGTGCGCTCTGAGTTCTAGATTATTGTTTGTGTGGCTCCGGCGGGGTCGTGCAATTAATAATTTGAATGTTGTGTCCAAAGTCAAGAATTGGTGTGTCAGCGCCGTGGTTGCGTGCAGTGGTGGCGAGTACATCGTCGCAGGTGTCTTCGGAAGTGCGTTTGTCTCTGGACTCACGTGCGGATGGTTTGGAAACGAAATGGTCGGTGGCGGCATGGCGGGCGGCGTCACCGGAGATTCGTAAGTCATTGTCGCCTGAAACGTGGGGTTCTCTGTCATTGGAGACGTGGAAGTCGTTGCCTGAGGAGGTGTGGCGTTCGTTGCCGGTGGATGCGTGGCAGCACGTGCCTGTGGAAGTGTGGGGATGCATTCCGTGCGACGTGTGGGAGATGCTGGACGCTATCCAATTGCCGGCTGAGGCGGCCTGGAACGGGCGAGACTCCGTTGTGGAGACACCGGCCTGTCGTCTCGTGCTGTTGAACCGTAGCTACAGTAGCGGCGAGGAGCGGCTTCGGTGGCTGGATGCGAAGCGGGATGCAGCCTCTGGTGCTTATTTGGATTTGATTGAACTGGAGAAATTGCGACCGCGGCTGAAGGAGATTGGGAAGCTGTGTAAGCTGATCAAGCAGAAGGCGCGCCGCGTCGAGAGTCTGAAGGAGGTCAGCAGCCGCCGCCAGGGCCGCGTGGAATTTGAACCGGAGGGCGGTGAGCGACAGGAGGTCGAGCAGTTCGACGCACAACTGATCGACCTTTGTCGGAGCCGCGTACGCCGGGAAGAAGCGAGCGTAGAGGGGCTCCGATTCGACAGCAAGGATGCCGGCGCCATGCTACGGAGGCTTGAACAAAAGCTGGTCGCGCTCGGCCGCCTGCCCCGGAGGCGTAACCGGTTCAGCTGGCGCCGACTCTGGCGACGAAAAGTCTCTCCCCGCGAAGGTTTCCTCAAGTTGGTCCGAGAATTGATCCGGCGGGACTGTGAAGCGGCTGTGGCCTCCTATGAGATCGAGGCCGCTGTCTATGCCACCGACCTATCGGACCAGGGTGCGGCTAAATACAACCGCGTCCAGTGGTGCATCGCCCTCGCAAAAGCCATCGCACAACCCGGCAAGGACCACCTAAACAAGGCCGCCGAAGTTTTCGCCAAACGCCAGTGCTGGCTGGGCTTCGATTGGGTTTCCAGCACCGTCCCTTCACGGCTTCCGTCTGGTGCCAAAAAGCGCGCACCTATCCCACGAGCTTTTCACACTATTGGCAAGTCTGAAAACATCGCGGAACTCCTCAACAAGAAATGTAAAGACGAAGATGACGAAATGAGGATTAGCAGCGTCCGACTAGGCCGAGCCAGGTCCGGGCGACACATACGATGCCGTCCCCCACTCTCCTACCGACACGCCGTACAACTGTCCGACAGCAAAATCGCTAAACACAACTCCGACGAACCTGCCACAGAGGAACCTGCTACAGAGGAAACCTTTACCCGCACGGAGGAAGCAGCTACCCAGGCGGAGAAGACAGCTACGAACACGGAGAAGGCCTGAGACAATGGGGTACGCGTCAGCAGCGAAAACGTGAAGGACGCCGATCAAGGAAAACCCGCTGGAAGCGACGATGGAAGCGACGCTGGGGAGCGTGGTATACATTTTTTCCTATGACCCGGCAAACACTTGCTACCCCGCGGAATCTGCTACCCCGCGGCTGATGCTTTTTAGGGGCTGGCCGCACAAACAACAGCCGGACGAACCTTGTCCAGCAACAGGGAAGGTTGTGGATGGCCGGCAGATCCAGAGAGGGAAGAAGCGACCCAGAGAGGGAACGGCGAAGTAAGGGGGCAACGGCGAAGTCAGGGAACAACGTGAGTGATCATTTTAAAAAATGACAACTCAGCCGACGGGCAATCCGATGTATATGCCGCCTACTTACGTGGAGACCTTCTTGACGAGGGATGGCTTGGTGGAGGAGCACTACGTGCCTCCGCGTGAGCGGACGGTTCGGAAAAAGTTCAAGTACCAGGACCCGGGTTCCTGCGGAGCGTGCAATGAAGTGTGCAACGGCGCCTGCGACGGTCCGGAAGTGAGCAAGAGCTACAAGAAAAGTGTCAAGCCTGGCGGGACTTGTGGTTGCTGCAATGCCAAGGGCTGTTGTGACCGTGAGAAACTCTGGATCCGCCGCGGCAGTTCGGTCGAAAGCTGGCAACTGAAGGAGCTCCAGATCCACACCAAGTCTAGCCGAAAGAGAAGCAAAAACAAGTGCTGCTAATACGCGATGTGGCATCGACGACGTGGTATCGACGACGTGGTGTCGAGAAAGTGGTACGGACGACTGCATGTTATTGACATCATGTTATCGATGCAATGTTACTGGCACGATGTTGCTGAATCCACGTTGTCGAGGAGATGCGAACCAATGACCAACAGGTATGAACCAATGACCGAGAGCTGACGGGAGCTGATTGGCCCGCGAAGGCATCTGGGAGTAATGTGGCCGGGCGGGTGTGTCGAGGGGGCAGGATAGGATGCACTGTTTGGCCGCTGCCTTTGATTTTTAGAATTGAAAAAACTTGGAAGATCTTCGGAGGTTGTTTCGAAACAAAAGATCGGGTGTGGCAGAAAAAGAATGATAAAGGCTACGTTACAGGGTCCGGAGGGCGAAGCACTGAAGAAGCTGCTAGCTTTGGGTGGCTTGGTGTGCGGTGGATTGTTGGCGATGGGTGAATTGCTGATGCCGAGGAGTGTATCGGACTGGCCGCACGTGTGTCTGTTGGCGATGGCGGGCATGGCGGTGTATGGGATGACGCAGTCTGTAGAGGCTGAATTGACGATCGCTCGCCGAGTGCCGGATGTTAAAAACCCTATATACAAATCTGCAGCGCTCTTCGTCTGTGGCCTTGTTCCGCAGTGCAGCTACTGGTTCCCGCTGCTCGGCCTTCTCGGGGGCCTACTCGTTCAAGCAGTTGCCGCTATTCTCTTCGTGCAAACTTACTGGGCCATTGAAAAGAACGAAGGCACCTCCTGGATCAGAGACGCACTCAACAAACCGGCAGACTACATCGACTTCCAAGAACAACAGCAACAGCGATCTTTTGATGAAATTTGACTTGCACATAACACAACCACTTCTCCGTGCCACACATGTGTGTGGCACATGTGTGCGACACAACCTCACCTGCGTGTGTCTGCTGCGTCCGGTAAACGACAGACAATGCCCGCGATATTTCTGTGGGTAAAAGATCAGCTTGCACCTGAAGTGGTCAGGTGGCGACTGCCCTAAAATGGTCAGGTGGCGGCTGTCCTAAAGCGGTCAGGTGGCGACTTGTCCTAAAGTGGTCAGGTGGCGACTTGCCCTAAAGTGGTTAGGCGGCGACTTGCCCTAAAGTGGTTAGGCGGCGACTTGCCCTAAAGTGGTCAGGCGTCCTAGAGTGGCCCTAAAGTGGTGGTGAGTGAGCCAAGTTAAACTGGAGTTGGGCGCAGTGGCTGTTGTTGTTCAGGTACAGAGCTGATTTTGAGCGGGTTGTCCATTGTCTCGACGAGTTCTGAGCACTCTTCGAGGGGCATGATCCGTATGTAGTATTCATCGCCTCGGTTATATTCCGAGTAGAAGCGGACGATGGGCGTGTGTTTGATCTTGCGTTCGACCTGATGGAGAGCGAAGGTGCAGACCCCGAAGAAGACGGGTAGTCTTCCGATTGAGTATGCAGTGGCGACTAGCCAGCTCACTGCGACGTAGCAGCAGAGACACACGTTGAAGTTCCCACTGTTTCGAAGGTCGGTCCAGCTGAAGTTGGAAGCCTCTAAAAGGTAGTAGAGCGCAAACGAACTCCACACTGAGCTTCCTAAGTACGCTATGGAAAGCAACCCATCACTAAGCAAACTGATTACCGACAATGCATGGATCATTGCATTCCGTCCCAGCATGACTGCCAAACAGGCCATACTCGCAGCCGCCACCAAACCTATCAATCCTTCTAGCAACATACTGCAGAGCACAAATCTTCGCAACCATACCGGATAATTGGTCCAGTCTTCCACAACCAACAAAGTCAACGCTACTATCATTCCCACTATCGCACCCACTCCCACAAAGGTGTCCCACACACACCTCAGCCGCGAGTGGGCGTCAGCTCTCGAGTCCAGTGGATGTAACCAAACATCTTCTTCTTGCATTTATAATAGAATCGTTGTGAATGCCAACTCCTAAAAAAACACGGATCGTGTTGAACACGGATCGTGTTGATGAACGCCGATCGTGCCATGAAGTTCACGTCGATGCACAGCCGTGGGGTAACACAACCATGGGGTAACACAGCCATGCATAGTCGTGCGAAATACACAACAACCAGCAAACCACGCACAAGGTGATGTCAGGTCAAATTGGGTCAGAGGTTGCATAGAGGTGTGTGGGCCTACCGAGTCCGCTGTGTAGAAGAAGACGTTCCCTTTCTGAACGGAGTGGTATAATTGATCTGAGAAATTGATATTACCGGCCCCAGGTTTTAAACAGGCAAGATTTAGGCCAACGAAGGGGGCCATTGAAGGGGTGGTTCTGAGTGGCGGGTTACTCAGCTGAAATTTTGAGTCTAGCGCTTCTTCATACACGTGTGCCAGAGGGGAGCTTAACCGCCACATTCGCAGTCGCGACGATGAGTCGACCGAAACTAAGCGCTGATCGTTTGAAGCATCCAATAAAACCACGTCGACGAAACCTGTTTTCCAATGGGCCTACACATACATTATCCCAGCCGCCCATATGGTGCTCTCCACCCACCTGGTGCCTTTCGCCGCCTGGTGCTCTCCACCCACCTGGTGCCTTTCGCCGCCTGGTTGGTGCCCGGCCTCGGCGAGTGCCCAGTGCCCGCCCAGTGCTCGTTGTGAGGGTCGTACCAGCCTGTTCCCAGATGAAATCTCAAATACGTATAATTGGTTGCCATTCGTAATGAAAGCAATTCGATCGGCTCCCCAGAACTTCGCTTTGGTAAGGCCAGTGACGTTTTTCGGGAGCTCTTGATGGAATATGCAGTCTACTGTGGTACCCCACCGGGGTTCCTCGATGGTGAGGGGTAGTTTGAGGACCTTGATGGCGGCGGGAGTGGTGGCGTTCGACCCGGCATGGATGAAGGAGATAAGGTTGCCATCCCGGTAGTCGAGTGGTATTACATCAGAGTCGGGTAGACGCAAAGGGCAGAGCAACGTAGTCTGATTCTCCAAGTCATGCATGATGGTCACACCGAGGGAAGGGATGAGTACCTGATTTTCGCACTGTAGCACGTACTTTATTTGCGCTGATATCCGTCGGTCAAACTTGTACTGGCGCTCTTTCCGAGTCAGCCGGTCAAAGGCCCAACAGGCATGGTTCCCTACGATCCCGAACATCTTCTCGCGCGTCATGTACAGCCCCCGCACAGCGTCTTCGCTAAAGCCCTGCAATATACTACACTCACCGCCAGACGTCAACGACCAGCCCCGCGTCGAACCGTTGTTTGCCGAACCATTGTCGACCGAGCCGTTGTCGACTGAGCCGTTGTTTGCCAAGCCGTTGTTCGCCAAGCCGTTGTTCGCCACACCGGTTGCCCACGGAAAGACGTAGTGCAAAATGCGGCCGTAAATAGTTCCGATCAAAATCCCCTCTTCCGCATCCACATACAGACTAAATATGTAGTCGTCATACGGCAGCAGAAGTAGTCTCCCCTTTTTCTCCAGAATGAGCCGGTTATTCCACACGTGACGCCTGACACCACTACCGGGAATCATACCTGTGTTCACTGGTATGGCTCCAGTCGCAGCCACTGCACTGTTGTACGGAGCAGTATGCTGCGTCTGGTGTATGGCACTCAATCCCCCAGACACGCTGCCCTGGATCAATGGCCCGCCTCGCACTACTCCCGGCGGTTTGAAGCTGCTGCCTTCTTCATGCGCCCACTCTGGTGCGAGAGGGGAGGTGGGTCGGGGAGTGAGTGCCAGATCTTCGTCGTCGTCCTCAAGTCCTTCATGGGTGCGATGTTCTTCCTTACTGCGGACCAGTCCCTGGGTAGTGTACATGGAGATATATATAATTGGACAAAAAAAGGGTCATTGTTGACAGCCGGCACGCCTGATCATTGGCTGACAACAGTAAGACCAGGATCAATGGCTGGCGGCGGCATTTCGGCAATTTGCTTCTTGAGCCTTTCAATACCTTCAACGATATGTTTGCCGTAAGTGAACTTCTTCAACGCGGGCACATGCTTCTGCAGCTTGTTAAATACCTCGCGCCTACCGGGATCGCTCAGATCCAAAACGTCATACGACACCAATATTTTCTGTACAACGTAATTTGCGTACGGGTCACGAATCATACTCAAGATCGGAGGCTTGCCCACTGAGTCAGCGGAATTAGTCGCCGCAGTGGAAGACCCCGACGAAGCAGAAGATGCAGTCGACGGAACCACTCCTCCACTCCTCGCACCGTTCCTGACCACCCCGCGACTCCCGGCTGGACCTCTCGATCCTAACTGCAGGTCTTGATTTACGCCATGCTCCGAACCATGACTTGATCCATGACTTGAACCATGATGGCTAGATCCGTGGCGGCCAGACCCATGGACCTTGGCCTCACGTAGACCAGACCCATGAACCTTAAAACCGCGGTCGCTACAACCACGGTCGTTACAATCACGGTCATTACAACCACGCTGGTTAGAACCATGGTCGTTACAACCACGCTGGTTAGAACCATGGCCGTTACAACCACGCTGGTTAGAACCATGGTCGTTAGAAATTTCGCCATTGCGGGATTTACCCACTCCTGAAAAGAAGCTTTGGTCCTCGCTCTTGGCACGGGACTCAGTAACATGAGTGACATTTACACCGGCCGACTTCGATACAGTCTGTTTGGACCCCGCCGCGTCAACGGCACCAGTCGCGGGCTCACCTTCTATCTTCACCTTCAGTTCGGTAGCCACTCCGGCGAGCACCTCCCCGGCAGACGCCTTTTGGATTGAAGACTTTCCCGCAAAATGCAGGTCCGTAGGAGACGCGTGAGCGGGAGGCACGTCCGCCGGAGACATGTCCGTAGGAGACACGTCTATAGATGACCGGGTTTGAGCTTCAGGTGATTGAGTCTCAGGGAGCTGAGCCTCCGGCGACTGGGAGGCGCGGTTAAATTCATTGTTGAAGTTAGTAGTCTTCATACCTGTTTTGCCCGCAGGACGATAGCAAGGTGCTCCTGTTACGGGTCCACCGGGAGCCCCACTCGGGGTTCGGCTGGGGAGGGAGGTAGTTCCAACAGGGGGAGTGGGGGTGAAAGTGGCTAGGACAATTGAAGCTCTCATTTGTTGGGGAACATATTTTTCTAGGCATCGTTCTACGACGTTAGAAGCGTATTTATGACAGGAGTAGTAAGTGATGTTGTTGACGACTAGATTGACGACAATTTGTTTGTCAGACAGCCTTCCGTATTTGAGTATGTGTTGGACAACATAGTTCCCAAATTGATCTCGGATGAGGATTTCGATACCAGGTTGCAGCTTATTGAGCATTTTGTATGTGACTGAATGGGGGCAATGTTCCAGAACACGTTGCATGACCCTGCACCCATAGCTGTGTAGCGAAATAGCGACCACGTCGCCACCACCCAATAGTTCATCGACGATTATAGCGCAATCATTAGCGGGCAAACGGTCCACCATTTTCTGGACTACATGGTTGCCATTTTGGTCTTCAATCAGTCGCAGTAGCGTGCTGCCCTTGCCGCCACGGCCGCCAAATGTATGACCATCGCTACCACGACAGCCACGACGAGAAATCAACTCCTTCAACATTTCTAATTTGTCCCTTAAATACAAGTAATCCAGACCACGCTGTAGTACACGACAACCGTAACTATCCAATGACAGATCCACACAATGACCAGCCATACATAAACCAAATATACGTCGACAATACTCACCATTAGAACCTCGACGATCCAACGTAGAACCTACCTCCAATAACTTCTGTACTACATGATTGCCGTACACGTGAAAGCTCAGTCGATATAAGTCACTACCTAAAGCATTCAACGACACATTATATTCCGCTTCACTACACATTGATAAAACACTCTGTAAATACTTAACGCCCATCTGATCCTCAGCCAAAGCAACCTAAAAGACCATTAGGTGAATGTGACAGCCACCACCACCAAATAGCCACCACCACCAAATAGCCACCATCACCAAGTAGCCACCACCACCAAATAGCCACCACCACCAAGTAGCCACCACCACCAAGTAGCCACCACCAGGTCTGACTTACAATGTTTGGTAGAATATCATTGAAAGAGCTAGCTATTGTTTCCTGCTGCTGTACTCTCGGAGGAGGTGGAGGAGGTGGAGGCGGAGGCACAGCAGACGCCCTCAAGGGAAATATGTCATTGAATATTTCATTGTCGGTATACTGATCGTTCCAGATGGCTGTTAGGAAGCCTATAAGAAATTGAGCCAATATTCCCCCCACAAGATTCCCCCCCCACCAGTGTGTTAGAATTACTGTCCAAATCAGCATCTGACTCCCCTCCTGCCGTGGTCGGACTGAGATCGTCACCGTCTTCATACGTTCCCAGCTTGCGAGGAAAAACTCTCATTGTTGGAAAAAAGAAAATTTCTCGCATGAGTGGTGGTTCACGCACACAATTATTTGTCAACTGCTGCGGCGGTCCTCAGAAATCCTACCGGCCGCCCTACCAGCACCTGGGGCAGTTCTGCCCCCACCTTGGGCCGCCGCTCGACCAGCACCCTGGGCAGGTTCCCGTCGGGCAGGTCTTTTCTTTCCCTTATCTGCAGGTAGATCACTCAGCCTCACCTGCAGCGCAGCGGCCAACAAGTCCCTGTAACTGCTCAGGCGCATGGGACCCGGCTCGAAGCGTCCGGCGCAAACTGACATGCGACACCGGTCGTACCACTCGCGCATCAGATCGAGCTCATACTCAAACGGATCTTTAAGAACACCTTTCTTTACATCGCTTTTGATGCTGGCCTGCAACTTCTTGGTGAATTTATCGCCGTCCAACCGAACGAAGTCTTGTGGAAGCGAGACCGAGAGTTTTTGCAAATGGTGGCTGTACTCTGGGATGCGCTTTTCGGGACGGGTCATGGATATATCATCAATGAGCGTCTGATTTCGACAAACATTCGACCTGTACCGAAGTGTTGATGCATTCGCGGACCGATTCTCCTCAGCCAACTTCCACCGAACTCCACTTTTATACGCCGACAAGTCGGATAAGCCCGCCTGTCTGAAAACGGATCGAAAAACCCGTTTATGTATTTCAGAGTCGTCCATTGATCTAGCACACACGCGTGTGCTGCACGCAATTAACCGTCGGCGGCACGGGGGTTTGCGTCCCACGCACTTGCGCGGCAGACATTTGTACCCGCAATATAATTATAGCCCGGGCATGTCCAGCGTGCAGGAAGAAATCCCCGAGGAGTTCGCTGCTATCTTCAAGCGTTTCGGAGAATTAGAAGAGAGAGAAATTCGTAGATGCGCCGAGGAGGATGTCAGGGCCCGGAAAGAAGACAATATTCCTGCGCAGCCCGAGGTGGACAAGCCTGTAAAGAAGGATGAATTTCGGAAAATCAGTAGGAAGCAGCTGAAGCAGCTTCTAAGGCCAGATATAGCCACTTTAAAGCTGCAGGCCCCCCGGCCAGAAGTGGTGGAGTCGTGGGATGTAACTGCTCCGAATCCGAGGTTGCTGGTGTGGCTGAAGGCTTACCGAAACACCGTCCAGGTTCCCATACACTGGAGTCTGAAAAGCCGGTATCTCAGTGGTAAACGCGCCATTGAAAAGATCCCCTATAAACTCCCAGGTAAGAAATACTTGAACTGGACAGTACTTCCCAAACTGGACAGCACTTCTCAAACTGGACAGTACTTCCCAAGCTGGAAGGTATATTACCTGGACGGTATGACCATTTTTTGCAGCGTACATGGAAGCGACGAAGATTGGCGAGATCCGGGCCGCGATACTGGAGAAGGAGGCGCAAAAGTCCTTGAAGCAGAAGCAGCGGGAAAAGGTTCGTCCAAAGGCTCACCGGATGCACATTGATTTCCAGGTGTTGCATGACGCCTTCTTCAAGTATGCAGAGAAGCCGGAGCTCAGTGTGTTTGCCGACGTTTACTACGAAGGCAAAGAGCACGAAGACAAGGCGCGCCAATTCAAGCCCGGCCAGCTGAGTGCAGCTCTCAAAGAAGCGCTCGGCATGGTCATTCCCACCCAGCCCCCTCCCTGGCTTTTCATGATGCAGCGCTACGGACGACCACCGAGCTACCCCAATCTCAAAATACCAGGAGTCAATGCCCCCCTGCCGCCTGGCTGTCAGTGGGGCGTCAACGGCTGGGGAAAGGCACCTACCGACCACTTTGGCAACCCCCTCTACCCCGGTGTATTCGCTGAACAACCTGCCCAACTACCACTGAACGACGACAAACCTCCGCAGTTCTGGGGCGAGGTCATCCCTGCAGAAAGCGACGCCGAGTCCGACTACCAAGAGCAAGAAGAGAACCCGCCCTCGTGAACCAGACACGAACCTAACTCGGTCCCGACGAAGGTTCGGTCCATATCAGTTGCAGAAAAAGGTCCTCCTGAGACTCAGGCTCATACAAAGGCGCACCGCCCTGGTGCCTCAACGTGACGTAATAATAGTTATATTAACGGACCGTTCAACGTGTCCTGGGAACATTGTTAATGTGGAAAGGAGTTGTTTGGTTGTATCGAGTTGTACCGTGGAATCCAAGGTAGGCTCAAGGGTTCCAATGCCGATAAGCGACTGTCGGCAGAGGCGTAAGGCCGGCAGAGGCGTAAGGCCGGCAGAGGCGTAAGGCCGGCAGAGGCGTAAGGCCGGCAGAGGCGTTGCGTTAGACTTTGCGAAGTTGTGTATAGACGCTTTCGAGCATCTGGTTGCGGTCCGCAAGGCGGTCGTTCCTGCGTTCCAGAGAGGCGATGCGGTCTAGTAGCAGGGCAATCACCTCTGTAGGACTGGAGACGTCGTATTTCTTGGCCTTCTTTTTCCGAGTCTCCAAAAGCTTGCGTAGGTCGCCGAGTCGTTCCTCAGTGAGTGTGGTACGAGTGGCTAACTCGGCTAGTTTCTGTGCCAGCTCCAGAGTGCTCAGATCGCTGCGGCCTCCCGCGCCAGAGGACATGAGCAGTCCGGCGTCCTCCCCCGACGCACCAGGTTCCATGCGAACTCCCAACGACCCGAAGGGAGGTGACCCGCGGGGGGGGGGCCCG